TTGATCCTTGAATCAAGAATTAAAAGAGTTTCGGGTGCAAATAGTACGTGAAAATGAGAGACAATGCGAAAAGAAATGAAACAAAATCTTGTCTCCTCAGTGTTCTGAGACATAATGCAACATGAATTCTTTTCAGACAATATTTATTAACGGGTTAAACAAAAATTTTAATTTCCTACAGTGGAAATAAAAGTTATTGAATTTTAAGAAACTCGAAATTGAATATCCAAACAATTTAATTTAGCAAATTTTGTCTTATAATATCTGCATAAAAATGGAATTACATAGTTATATTTCTTTATACAGACTTTTAGTCCGTTTTTAACCATAATTACTTTTTAAACATAATTACTAGTATGTAAGTATATTCCAAAGTCTTTATAATTACTAACAATTATAGAAACTTTGAATACACTTCAAACTTTTCCAATCGTATATCGTTAATTTAAAATTTAGCAAAAAACGAGATAGAAATTCTCCAAGCTCCACCCCCCCTTGTATCTTGTAATACACTGGTTACCCAGGTACCACAAAGAGTTGAACAAGAATTCAGTGATATGACATCAATTCTGAATTTATTTTCAGATGCAAAAAGAATTCTTCTTCTGAAATGTTCTGAAAAAAATTCATGTTGCATCCGAAAATAAGTTCAGAATTGATGACATATCATTGAAATTCTTTTTGCATCCTTTTGAACTCTCTGTGCTTTTTGATAGTTTAGTATCTGATACAAAGAAGAACAATCTTCGTAGTGGAGAATGAACTTAATGTATTCTGATTCAACATCAAATTCACAAGATTCATTCGCAAAGAAAAGTTAAGCAATCCGTCATACAAAAGCGATCTTGTTACAGGAGGATAAGAATCTTTCAGACTGCTTACGACAGTAATAATTTTAATAATACGTCAATTACAATTAAAATTTTTATTGAATCTTTAATATAATTAAAATTCACAAGAAAATATGTTCTGCCGCACATTAATAAAAATCTTCGCTTATTAAAAATAAATGGATACAATGATTTCCTTATGGAATAGGGGTTACGAAGAAATATATTAAAAAATAACAAAATACATGCGTATAGTAATTTTTTAAATAACGTTTCTCGGGCATTAATTCTTCGAGATAAACCAAACTTCATAATAACGGGATTTTAAAAAGTTTTATACCAAGAAATTTATTATATAA